AAAAAAAAGCAAGAATGGTGAGACTTAGTCTCTCGTTCTTTGGACAAGTTATTAGGAAAAGAAGAACCTTAAGCTTGGAAAAGTAGAAGGTCACAGAAAAAGAGCAAGACAGATGAATTGACACAGTGACAGCAACAAAGGGTTCAAACATAAAAACCATTGTTTTCTTCTCTTGTGCATTGGGTTGTGTATATGAGCTGGAATTGAGTCCACAGCACCTAACAACAACAACAGGTGTTTTGGTAAACTCTGGCAGCAAGTTCAGTCAGTCATTCCTCTCTCTTGATGAGTGGAGGCCAAAGAAAAGGGCATTGGCTATAAAAGGCTTACCTGAGGGTACAGCAGCAGTGCCAAAAGATACAGAACCAAACATGTCTGCACTCGCCGGAAGTGTCTGAGATGAAGATGGAATAAAGGCATCACCTGGAGTTGCAGGAGTCTGTTAGACATAGAGAGGCAAAGGGAGACCTGACTCAGTAGTCACCAAGCGTAGGAGGTAGTAGGTGCAACAATTAAGGGAAAAAGGGAAACTGAAGAAGTGGGCCACAGTCCAGGCCACCTACACAATGTTTAGACTTTTGCACTAGTTAAATAGATGTATGTACAAAATAGGGGAAATGATACTCATTCTAGTGCTGCTATGAGCTCTTACACATAAATCATTTAGCACCACGTTAAGGCACATAGTAGGTACTCAGTAAACAATGGTCAGGATCATAACTACTTGGTTGAAGCCCCTACCTCTTAGGGAGTGTTTTAGGTCATCAAATGAATCCGTAATATCTAGCTTTCAACTGTGGGAAGTGGTCAGTTCAAATTGGCACGTATTCATGCAGGATGTAAGGTGTGCCCAGGTCTGGGCTTGCCACTTAAATTATAGCCAATGCACAGATGCTGACTAAATGAACAGACGATGCTTAGAAACTGGAGCAGAGCCACTTGGATTTTGGAGCTTCTCAAAATTTTGCCTAAATTTTCATTTGTAAAAGAATTTCATATTTTCAGGAAGTTAACAAAAAATGATTAGTATGCAGCCAAAACTCTCCTGTTCCTCGATTGTGCTGGAATTCCAGAAAGGTCTGTAGCATGAACCAGAGGCCAGGATGAGGGGTACTGAAGTACAAACACCAGGACTAATTGGTTTTTTAAATGTCCACACCTGTTTACAGTAACCTTTTGCCTACAGAAAATTTTTGTTCCATGCCATCATATCCTTATTTTTTTCTTTTGGAATTGACTGGGCAAGCAATTAATCCTGAAACCATGGCAATTAGACAAGGCCATTTTTAGACTAGCAGCTTGTAGGACGAATGGCATTGTTCTGAGGATTATTAAATACCCATTTGGGCTGCGCTTGGGTTCAGGGCCAGAAATACAACCATAAGCTGCTGTGTTAAGCATTTTTAAACACAACTCAGTGCTGTTCTCTTTTCCCCTACGTGACCTTGGATGAGTCACGTGCCCTCTTTGGGACTCAGTTTGCTAATCTATAAAATGAAGGGGATAAGATGAGAAGACCTTTTCAGAGCTGTCGAGCTCCCTAGCCTTGATGCCGAGTGCCCAGGCTGGAGGAGAGAATGAGACGCAGTAGAGGTGTCCAGCTTCCCTTAGGACCCAAGCTGCTGTCCCCTCCCTCCTTGAGGCTCTGGGCATCAGGTGCAGAATAGGGCAGCTGTGTCTGGATTCCCTAGTGGCAGCTGTGGGCAGCAGGGTCCTGTGCCATCTGTCCTCAGTAGTAAGGTCACAGCCTTTTCTCTCTGAGGCACATCTCGCCAATGAACCACAGCACCATCCTTCGGTTTGCACAATCAATTGCAGAGTGCCCAGAGGAGCTGCCTGCCCCCAGCAGCTTCAGCTGGTGCAGCTGCGGCTGACTGCGCTCCGCCCACCTCCGGGAATGGGCAGGGAGGGGTGGCAGGGCCAGCTTGCCTCTTTTCTTTGCAGTGGCTGCAGGGTTGCCTTTCAATGCATTGGGATGCTATTTGGCTTTTTTTTTTTTTTTTTGTTCTGTTTTCTTCTTTTCATTTTAAAATTAGGGCTCTCAGCAAACTGGTCCCTTAGAAACATTAACTGTGGTGCCCTGGCTAGGACTGTGGCTGGAAATCCAAAGCTGCAAGAGTTGCTGGGTGAGACCAGGTCATGGTTTGTGAAGCTAGAGAGCATGCTGGAAAGGAGGAAGGAAATGAAAAGGAGGGGAGGTGGTGGGGGGAATGGAGAAGGTAAGAAGGTGCTGGAATGGCAGAAGCAGGCAGGAGAGAAAATGCATCCTTGACTAGGTTGCCTACCTACTTACTGTGTGCCAGGCTCTGGGGAGGTGCGGACAAATGCTATATAGTGTTTGCAGTGATGTTGCATTTCTCTCTTCTCTGCTACATCCTTGTAGGCAAAGACCACATTCATTCATGTCTCAATTCCAAGTGCCCAGAGTAATAGACAGCACCCAGGAATATCTTGTAATTGCTGAATGCATGGTCTCACTTATCTCTTAAAACAATATATATATATATATATATAATTTATATTTATATAAATAACATCTCACTGTTTTAATAGCAGAGGAAACTGAGGCCTAATGTTAACTGGCCTAGTTTGGAAGAGTCAGAGGTGAAATTCACTAGCTGACCTCGTTGATGTGAAGTCTAAGTTCTCTCTACTACTAGACCAAGGAAAGAAAGGGAGGGGAGGCAGGGCTCAGAAGGCAGTGCATACTTACAGGGGGAGAGGTTATATCAGGAGGGGTTGACATGTCCCCAAAAAGTCCTAATTGGGTCACAGCCTGAAAAGACAAAAAAAAAAAAAAAGCCATGTAACTACAAGGAAAGCTGATGCGACTGGGCACTGCTTTAAGAACGAACAGTGAGTTACAGAGGATAAACGTTTATCTTAAACATCATGGCTGTGTAAGTAAGCACAGTTGATCATTACTACACCTTGTGATTTCAGAGATCTCTGACTGGATCAGAATTGGTTCTGCCTTCAATGTGTCTGGCTGTTTTCCAGGCTGAGTCAAGGAGATCAGCCCATTAGCTGCCCCCTTAAGCAATAATAATAGCACTTCACACTTATTCACCATCAAATGCTAGCACTGCCCAGGAGATAAAGGCGTGATAGCAGTTTCATCATTTGTTTTTCTTTCATGAGTGTAAGGACATATCCAAAATGCTTCTATGTGTTCAGTCCAGCAGGACATGACTTCACCATCACCTCTCAGCCAGTGCCCCCAATAACACTAACCCTGACAGGCAGGAATGATCATCCCCATTTTATAGACAAATAAACTGAGTCTCATAAAGGCCATATCAAGGTCAGCTAGGCTAGGACTGGAAAACTGCTGTCAAATGTCAGTCCATCTTTAGAAAAAACATAGAATTGGAGGGGAAAAGAAATAAAATAAAACAAAAAGAACAACATTCTATTTAATACTAGGAATAGGGTTAAAAAAAAACAGTCTAGTACATACACTATTAATCACTCCTGGGAACCCCATCACTGCAGACACTATATCATCTTTATCCCCATCCATCATATGAGAGTGGCAGGACAAGGCCAGACATAGCTGCTGAAGAAATCCTTTAAGTTACACTTAGAATTTAATCTGCATACCCTTCCAGCTTCAAGAGACTATGGGGAGTGTATGGCCAGCAACCAAATAGCCTGACATAATACAAGAAATCAATAATCACATGCTTTGTGCAAACCCATCCACTGAGGAAAAACCATTCTGCCCTTCATCTTTGGATTTTAAATTGTGTGAGTTTCTAATTGAGAGGCCAGAGAGCATCACATAAAAGGAAGGACAAGGAGAGTCTGTCCTGCCCCACAGGGTTCTTATGTTTAAATTCTGCTTTAACCAGCCACGGCTGGATCTGGATGATTCGCATAAAGAAAGGAAAGTTCTTTCCTACTGACAAGTGAGCGACCTCTAGGTGCTGGAAAAGGGTCCACACCTGGGCATATATGTTGGGTTCTACCAAGTCCAACTGAGCCCTGCTGTGGTGATGTAGGATAAGCACTGGACTGCTAACTGTAAGGTCAGTGGTTCAAACCCACTATCCGCTCTTGGAAACTTTATACAGGGTTGTTATGAGTCAGAATGGACTTCATGGCACTTAACAACAACAACCACTTCGAGCTCCTGCTTCCAACAGCAAGTACTCAGATCTACAGTTCCAATGCCTACAGAATGCGATCATAATAACTTCTTTGTAGATTTATGGACAAAATTAATCTCAGGACTTCACTTGAAGTTAGGTTGTTTTGTGCTGTTGTGTTGATTCTGACTCGTAGCAACTATGTAGGACAGGTCAGGACTGATTCAAGGGGTTTCCTGGACTATAATTCTTATGGGAGCAGACGGCCAGGTAATTTCTCGAGTGGATTTCCTGGAGGGATCAAATGGCTGACTTTTCTGTTAGCAGAGTGCTTAACCATTGCACCATGGGAAATTCTGAAGTTAATCTGATGCTATTGTGGCTGCTGTGTGCCGTTGAGTCAGTTCCAACTCATAGCAAGTAAATCTTTATGGGAGCAGAAAGCCTCATCTTTCTCCTTAGGAGTAACTGATGGATTCAAACTGCTGACCTTGCATTTAGAAGCCCAATGTGTAACCACCATGCTACCAGGACTCCTTGAAGTTAGGCTGCTGTTGTTAAGAATCGTGGAGTTGGTTCTAACTCATAGTGACTCTGTATAGAGTTTCCAAGGAGTGGCTGGTGGGTTTGAACCACTAACCTCGTGATTAGCCATCCAGTGCTTATCCCACAGTGCCACACTCATTGGACTAGTCCTGATTGTAAAGGCACAAAAGGCTTTTTGTGAAAGGCAAGCCTTGGCAACTCACTTTCTATTAAATTGTCAGACTGACAAGCGGTGCCAAACACACAGCTGTTAGCTTTCTTTGAGCCAACCTCCAACTTTTGAGGCCCCCATGTGCAATGGGATGGCACTGTTCTAATCCATAGAGTTTTCACTGGCTAACTTTTGGAAGTTGATCACCAGGCCTTTCTTCCTACTCTGTCTTAGTCAGAAAGCTCTGCTGAAACCCTTTCAGCATCATAATAACCTAAGCTTCCACTGATACAGATGGGTGGTGGCTGCACTTGAGAACTGACCAAGAACCAAACCAGTTCTCCTACATGGACGGTGGAAATTCTACCATTAAACCACCAATGTCCTCTGGCACACAGTGTTGTTGAGTGCTGTCGAGTCGGTTACGACTCATAGCCACCTGTATAGGTTTCTGAAGAGCGGCTGGTGAGCTGGAACCACCGATCTTGTGGTTCATACCAACCTTGCACTCCAGCGTATGAATCCACAGCGTCACACCTGGACTTCCTTAGGGTCCTATGTTATTATATGGTTAAGTGCTGTTGTGACCCTGTACAAGGGGTCCAAGGCTTTTAATCTTTGCAGAAGTAGAAATTGTCTTATTTCTCCCCTGGAGGGGCTGGTGGGCTTGAACCACCAACCTTGTGGTTCGCAGTCCAGTGTTTATCCTATGGAGCCACTGGGCTCCAAATAGTAATTTCCTTCTCAACATTCAGGTGGTGGGCACTGCACTGGGTGCAAGAAACTTAATGAAGAAAAATGCAAACTCCCTGCCCATTGGGAGCTCATGGACTGTTGGGACAATCCATTCTAAGCCCAGTATCAAACCTTGCCATGGGGTTGATTCCAACTTGTGGAGACTTCATATGTGTTAGAGTGGAACTGGTCTCCAAAGGGTTTTCAATGGCTGGTTATTTGGAAGTAGATTACTACGTCTTTCTTCCAAGCTACCTCTGAAAGACCTTCTACCCTTTTGGTTAAGAGCAGAGTGTGTTAACTGTTGGCAGCATTCGGAGACTTTGAAGACATGTACAAATGCACATACTTTCAATGCAGTGTGGCAGGAATGACAGCAGAGGTCTTGCGGGGTATGGTGTGAGCACTCAGGAGGAGGCCAGCCAACTCTTGGGGAGGAGTTCAATGGATCTTCTCTGAAGGAAATGATGGATCTACATCCCGAAGGAGAATTACCCTGTCAGCGAAGATGAGGTGGGGCAATTCCAGCAGATGAAACTATACTAACAAAAGGGTACAAGTCTGGGACATGGCTATACCACCAACATGGGTACACCACCAACGAAAAGCCCAAACTAGTGCTGTTTGTTGGGTTGACTCCAACTCACGACAACCCCATGTATATAAGTAGAACTGTCCAGAGGGTTTTCAAAGCTGCAAGCTTTTGAAAGCAGACTTCTGGGTGGGTTCAAACTGCCAAGCTTTTGGTCAATAGTTGGATTTGCACCACCTAGTGACTATAATAGTATGGGCAAGTAGAAATGAAAGCAGTTTCATGTATCCGTCAGTGTGTAGAAAGGGAGAGGGCGAGGTGGCAGGTGGGGTTGTTGTTGTTGTTAACTGCCGTCGAGTTGGTTCTGACTCATAGCAACCCTGTATAGGGTTTCCGAGGAGCAGCTGGTGAGTTTGAACTGCCAACCTTGCAGTTCAAATGGCTTTGCAGTCTGGCAATTAGGGGTTGTTGTTGTTGTTAAGTGCCATCGAGTCGGGATCCGACTCATAGCGACCCTGCACCGGGTTTCCAAGGAGCAGCTGGTGAATTAGAACTGCCGGCCTTAACGGCCCACACCGACGTTGCAGTTTACTGCATTAACAGGCAACGCCACACCAGAAGTCCGGCAATTAGGGATAGGCAGGGGCAGATTCCTGGTGGAACTGGTGTGCGATTTCACTTTCTTTTTGTCATAACTAATTCGTTGGAGTCCTGGTGTGGTGTTGTAGGATAAGTACTGGATGGTAGTACAATCAAAAGGTTGATGGTTCAAACCTTCTCCTATACAGGGTTGCTATGAGTCAGAACTGACTCGACAGCCCTTAACACCAACAACAACTAACTTGTTATCTCTCATTGACAACACTCCAGCAGCCCAATGGTGATGAATTGGTTAAACCTTTGGGTACTCTCCTCAAATCTGGTCCCTAACCACATGCATTTCTTAAGTAACATTTCTTCAGCATGTAAACTAAAGCCTCCACCAATAGGGTTCTTCTTGTATTAGTTAGTGAATCAATACCAGTCCTTTAAATCCTCTCCCAAATTCATAAAAGGAATAGTTTTATTTAATCAGCTCAAATAAAGCTTCAGGGCTTCCTCTTGATTGGGACTCAACACTTTTTAAATGGCCCACAACTATTTTCAGTGTTAGCAAAATATTAAAATGAAGTTAATAATTAAGTCATACAATTTACATTTCAAATATGTTGAACTCACGGCACACTTTTACTAACACCATAAATATAATTTATTGGCTAATTTTCTCCTTAAGCACAACTTTTAAAATAACCTTCATTCTTGAGATATAGACTTGCCTCTTGCCAGATAATTTTCACTCAAGGATTAAACGAGAAAAACAGGCAGAGGCATAAAACATAGATTGTTATTTCATTCCATTGGATTTGCTTGAGTTAATTAAATTTTATAGAAAAAGGGGATTCTTTGGTCATAAAATTAAAAATAATTCTAATAACCATATGTGATTGAGAATCTGCAATAATATTGACTTGCACAGACTCTTCCCCCACGTTAGCCCTAGTTCTATTATTTGTAACCTAATAAACCATGTTCCTTTTGATAATATTATTCTAATTAATCACTTTAAAGACCTCACGAGAATAAAACCAACGATTCATACGTGTAAAACACTCTATAGTTTACAATACACTTTATCAAATACGTGCTCATTAGGTTGGACATTCAGCGAGCCCACAAGGATGGTAGCACAGGTATTGTGGTTACTGCCTATACTTGACAGATGAGTTAACTGAGGCCAAGCAGGTAAGCCACTGGCCAATGACTGGTTAGCTCAAAGAAACTGGGATGTGACTCAGAGGCCAAACAGCATCTTATTTATCTATAGAATCATCTTACAAAGTCTTAGTTAGCCTTGCTAAGTGGAGGAAGCCCATCTCCATAATATCCTCTAACCAGAAGCAAAGAAACAGTTCCTAAGAGGGTTTCCAAGATGCACATCCATCCAAAAAAGTCAACTGAAATGTCAACTCAAGATTCCTACTCGCCCAAGAGAAAAGTTGTTCATCAGTGACATTTCCAGTGTCTTCGGGTGAAGAGAGATGGGGTTGTAGGTGCTGGGAATTTTCTGGGAGGGAGCTGTCCACACCAGGGCTTGTTGTTGTTGTTGTTGAGTGCCATCGAGTCGGGTCCGACCCATAGCGACCCTGTACAGGGTTTCCGAGGGTGTGAAGTTAAGGGGACAGTCCTTCAGCATCACTATCAGGCCTGTTTCCATTTTCCCAGACAGTCTTTAAAATGACCACTTGACAGTAGCCCAAAATATCTGAAATGCTGTTCAACTGTTCTTTGAAGCTTCATCCTTGGTCTTCCTTTCAACTAGCCTGTTGCCCTTAAGTCCTCATGCGCTAGACAGCAAAGTTGGTTTGAACCACAAGGGCGATGGTTCAAGCTCACCAGCTACTCCTTGGAAACGCTATACAGGGTCATTATGAGTTGGAACAGACTTGACGGCACTTAATGATAACAACAAATGGAGACATTCTGCATATGTCTCAGACGAAGACTGAGATGTCACTGGTCGAGCCCCATAACACATCTCTGAAGAGCCACTCCTTCACTGAGAACATGTATGGCGCTCCTATTGTGCATCAGCTCCTGTGCCAAGAGCAGACACATTCCCACACTCTTGAGCTTACTGTTTTATGGAAAGGCAGGCAGAATCAATGAAGTGTCAGAAAGGAAAGTAGCACAGGAGAGTAAGCATGAAGATGCCACTTCTGGGTCTTAGTACATGCTGTTACCACTGCCTAGAACACTCTTTTCCTTCCCTACTGCCTTTGTCATCTATCCTTCAGAATACAAACTTGAAGACATTTTCTCTCCCCTGGAGAGTATCCCTAACTCAATCTGCACCCAATTCCCCACTAATATTCCATGTGATCCTCCTAGATCTGTAGTTCTTACCTTCAGATATGCACGGAAATCACCTGACGGTATCTTAAAAACCCACCGAGTCAGAGGTATAGCCTAGTCACAGGGACTTTACCAGCTCTCTAGGTGATTCTAATATGCAGCCAAAATTAAGGACCACTGTCCTACCCACTGCCGCTGGGTTGATTCTGACTCAAAGTAACCCCACAGGACAGAGTAGAACTGCCCCATAGGGTTTCCAAGGCTGGGAATTTTTGCAGAAGCAGGCTGCCCCATCTTTCTACTGTGGAGTGCTGGTGGGGTTGTACCACTGACCTTTCCTTTTGCAGCTGAGAGCTTTAACCGTTGAGCCATCAACACTTTTATCACTGTCCTAAAAGCTCCCCCAACACCCTGATTCCTCAAAAGTCATAATATTTGCTTCCATGTGAATCAAGTAATCTGAACAAACATTGGCTGAAAACCAGTACATCCAGACTGGGGTACACAAACTGAATAAAGCCTTGTCTGGGTTTACTTCCCAACGGTGCACTTAGCCCCATCACATGTACGTGTCTGAATCTTTCCCGTAGTATGATATCTACACAAGGCTCTCGTACACTCTCTCCTGTCCCAAGCCATTCCATCTCATGCTACAGTCTGTTATACTATGAGCTCCTCAGGGACAGGGGCTGTATTTCTACTGTATGAAGTGGCATCAAAAAAGCTTGTGGAAAAATACCATTATCTTTTTGTTCCATTTCTTCCACAAACTTTTTGGAAGCTCCCTCCTCCTATCTCTAACATCTATTAGAATGCTTGGTCCAGGTCAGGGGATTCAGACGTAGCTGTTGAATGAAAAGAAGGTTCTCCATCTTGTCTACAGAATTATATACACTTTCCCATACATATGTGTATGCATGCTTTTTAATCTGCTCTCGCTGCAGAGCCCACTGACAGTCATCACGTAACATACCATTGGTGTTTCTGGAGCAGAGCAAGCATCTGCTGTTCATGCTTGCTGAATGAAGACGATATGGAGTTCATGAGAATCACCAGAACACCCTCACTGAACAACAGCCTTCAGGCCTTACCTTTGTTCTCGCAAGACTCTCATCAAAGTCCACCAGTAGGGTTCTGTTCTGTAACCACAAGGCATGACTCATGAGCATGAAATGATAATGAGATACTGACATGAAACATGTAACCAGTCAGGGCCCTCTCATCCTTACCGGGGTGGCCGCAGCAAAGCGTTCTTCAAAATCTTCAAACGAATGGCCATTCTGAAAGTGGAAGGGATGATGAATGAGGATGAAATGAGGGACACACAAATGACATGGATTTATGAGTTTAATGATGACGGTATCTAGGGTTTACATGCCCATGGTCTCAGTAAGTGGGAGCTGTTGCCAATGTACTGTGGAAACCCTAGAATAGGTTTCCGCACAAGCAGATGATAAAACACAAGTCTGATTAAGAAATACAGCAATGGTGATTTGTATGTTTGAAGTCCATTTTCCTGCAATTACAGGCATTACCAGATCATCCTCAACAGGGGATGCAGATAAGAGCATGACATTTACATGGAGACTTTCTTTTAAAAGGACAGAAAGTGTTATCAAATGTTTCAGTCAAACTGAATTCTCAGAGCCTTCTCTGAATAGCTAGTTTGGTATGAGCTTTTGTGTGCACCATTTTCATTGCTTAACATGATCTTCTCACTTCCACACAAACTCAAAGCCTACCAAATTCCTCAAGACCTGGTGAAAAGGCCACCTCTTACAGGAAGCTCTCCTTGATCATCTAAGTGTAAAATAGTACTCAGAGGCTCCTTCACATATATTTGTGAGCTCCCAAAAGCAAGAACCATGGGTCCTCGGTAGCTCAGAATATCTGTCACAAAGGAGGGGTAGTTGAACACACACACATATATATGTATATATGGAGCTCTGGTAGCGTAGTGGTTATGAATTGGGCTTCTAACCTCAAAGTCAGCAGTGTGAAACTACCAGCGGTTCCACGGGAGAAAGATGAGGCTTTCTGCTCCAGTAAAGATTTGCAGCCTCAGAAACCCTGTGAGTCAGACCCAACTCCACGGTACTTAACAACAACAACATATAGATAGATAGATAAATAGATAGATAGACAGATATAGATAGATAGATAGATAGATAGATAGATAGATAGATAGATAGATAGATAGATATCAATGCATGCTTTATAACTAGCTGATGAATGGCCAAACCCAGTTGTATTGTTAATTTTTATTTTATTGTTTGTAACATTAGATAAGAAAGGGCTTCAGTTGAAAGTTAGTGGGAAAATCCTTTTTCTTTTCATTCTATTTTCCACGAACTTTTTGAACCTCCCTTGTAATTATATACACACATATATAATGTTATATACACATACACATGCAGACACAGACACATGTAAATATACAGATCATGTTTTGGTTTATAAGCACAAGTTAATTATTCTTTGGATGATTTCCAAGTAGTACGAAAATAATATAAATCTGCTAATAATGACATTAAAATGGAGTTATGCAGAAACAAAAATGATTGTGTCATTTCCTAATTTTGAGGTGAGCTCCCGTTTAGCCATGGAGGGATGGATAAATAAACTATTACCTGCAGCCCCATTGCACACCTAAATTGCAAGAAGTTGGTTTCACCTACGTCCATCAGAAAAGGTGGCTGTTACTTTGCCTCGGCCTCAGTTATGGAGGTATGGAGCAGAATAGGGGAATTCATTGCATCCAGGCCAACCACAGTAGGGCCTTCAGGCCAACCACCAATGAGGCCTGCCATCAGCTACCTTCTTCCATAGCATTGGTTCACCCTTATCAACAATGGCTAAGAGGAGAAGCCATCATATCAAGTAACTACAGAAGTGATGATTGATGATGATGATGGTTTGGCCAGAGGTGGGGAGACAATATTAGTTTAAGTGATCCTGTAATCTACGGTGTGGTCCAAAAGGTTAAGGTTTGTTGCTACATCCTTTGTAAATTCACACACTTCTGGGGATTTATGGCAGAGCTACTACCAACTAGCTCTGGGTCATAACTTTTAATAAAAACATTTTTTAGTGTCCAAAATCTCATTACATCTGTCCAATATAAAAAAGCAAATGGCTTCAGAGCATGATGGATGAATTAAATAAATTTGAAAAACAGCCTGTGGTGGAGTCTCATAAAACCCCCACCATGTTCCATATAATGAGAGTGTGGGAAGAGAACCAGCGTCGGCGTGGGCTTGTCATTCTCCTGGTGACGGAAGAGGTGGCCCTTGGTGAGGTGTGGAACTGTAATTTCAGATGAAGCTTGATCTGTCATGTGAACAAATGCATCTCATTGAGCCTGGCTACACTACTTGTCCATGCCCCAGACTAGTTAACCTCAGTTTTTCATCTTTAAAGTGGGCTGGTCATGATGGGAACTTCTCCAGGTTATTGAGAGGAGGAAAGCAAAGCTTTTTGGGTGTTTGGCACAGAGTTGATGCCCAATAAATAGCAACTGTTTTTAATCCTTCCCATGCTATTTCACTTGGCTCATTTCAGCACTGCCATGCTTATGTTTTTTAATGTTAGGGCACTATCATTATACGATACGCAGAAAAGGAAAGAGAAAGAAAGAAACACGTCCAAACTGTTATCCCTTTAGAAATCACCCTACCTGAAAGCACAAGCTAAATCCCATGTAAAAGGATTTTCAGATGCTTCCTGGCTTTCTCTGCCCAAGTCCTTGTTAAGTGCTGTGTAGGGTTTCCAAGGAGCAGCTGGTGGGTTTGAACTGCCGGCACTGTGATTTACAGTCCAGTACTGAAGTTACAGCACCACACCAGGTGCCCAAGTCCTAACCCTCCTTAATCTACTCTTTTTTTTTTTAAGTGGTGACAAAATATATATACCAGAACACTTGCCACTTTAACCATTTTTAAGTGTGCAAACGTTTGACATTAAATTAACATATTGTGCAACCATCAGTACTACCTGTTTCCAAATGTTCTTATTACCCTCCATAGAAACTTGTAGTTGTTGTTATTGTGTGCTGAGTCTGCTCTGACTCACAGCAACCCTGAATAAAGGTTTCCAAGAGTGGCTGATGGATTTGAACTGCCAACCTTGTGTTTAGCAGTCCAGTGCTTATCATAGAGCACCACACCAGTGCTCCATTGAAATTTAACACCCTTTAAACAATAACTGCTCACTCCCTTCCTTCCCAGCCCCTTGTGACCACTGAAAAACTTTTGTCCCTGTTTTTCCTGTTCCAGATAGTTGTTATAAGTGGAATCATACAGGATTTGTTCTTCTCAGTTTGAATTATTATTTCACTTCAAGTGATGTTTTTAAGATTCATCCATGCTGTGGCATGCATCAGACCTTTACGGCATTCCTCATGGCTCAATCCATTCTTGACCTCATCTTCTACTTCTCTACGCTTTCCTGGCTGCAGTCTTGCCTGACCATCTTCTTCCCATTCCTTCCAATGTCTGATGCTGGTGGTTGCCTGACTATTCTGTCAGTTCTTGGTGCTCCCTCCTCTTATGTTTCTGTCTGGGGTAACCTTCAGGCACTTCCTTTAGACTATGCAGTCAGTGGGAGAGCCTTCTCCTAGAGTACTTTTTCTGGTCTTGTGGGCAGGACCAGAAACTCACTTCTTAGTTTGCCCAGACCTCAAGCTTTGCTTTTCCCACCACAAGAATTGGAGTTCACTGATCTTCAAGTCTTTTCTTTCCCTGATAGTTATATCTTTTCAGTTACTATCATAGCATGCATAAAGATTTATATTTGGCTTGTGGACACTCAACTTGACATCAAATTTATTCCCTACTTAAGCTTCCTGTGAGATAATGTGAGGGTAGACTTTTTCCTGAATTGTTTCAGTACAATTAAAAAAAAAAATTTTTTTTAACTTTGATTGGCTTTTCTAGCCTGAATTTTCATGAAGACATTGAAAACATTTCTCAGCAGGAAGCTTCTTTACCTAAAATTTCTCTTTGAACCTGGGAGAACACTACTGCCCCTTCACTGAATAAGGTGGGTGGGTGAGAAGGAACTTGCAGTGAAATTGTCAAAAAAGATGAGAACTTCCTTACGGCTGCCAAATCAGAAATCCAAAGTGGGCCTCATCCCTGGCTGTACATTGTAATCAGTCACAAGGATGACTTTTATAAAAAAGGCTGAAGTCTGAGCCCCACCCTCAGAGACCTGGATTCAATTTGCTCAGGATGGGGTCCTGAGATCAAAGATCTCAAGGTTTTTTGTTTTTTTTTTTAACCTGAAGCAGGGTTTGAGAATCATGGTGCTGGGAAATGAACTCTGTAGGAATAATGAGTGACAGTGCAATGGGGAAAACCAATAGCATCTTGATTGATTATCTAATTGATTAATTAATTTCTTCAACAAACATTCACCAGGTGCTTCCCACATGTCATGCCCTGGATAAGCATTGAAGAGACAAAGATGAATAATACAACGTCCCTGCTGTCGAATGCTCAGAGCGGAGCCCTGTTGTATAGTTACTCTAGCTTGGGGGTGGGACAGGGAGAACACAAAGCTTCTAAGTCTAAACTCGGTACTCACATCATGCTGCAATGCTCAAGAAAAATGGATTCATTTAAGAGGTTTATGACTGCACTAAGTAGGTACTGTTAAGGATACCTAGTGATTCCATGCATTTCAGTGCATGTACCTTTCCCTGGTGAGCAATTTCACAAGGAAGATACATGCTAATGAAAACGAATTCCCGTGGGGGTATCTTGGCATTTATGTTCTCTATAACCTTTAGCCAAAGGAGCCCTGGTATAGCGCTGTAGGATAAGCACTGGACCACAAGGTTAGTTTGAATCACAAGGTCGGCGATTCAAGCTCTCCAGATGCTCCTTGGGAACCCTATGCAGGGTCACTATGATGGTACTTAACAACAATAATAATCACCTTTAGCCAAAGAAGCCCTGGTAGCATAGTGGGTTAAGCGCTTGGATGCTAACCGCAAGGTCAGTAGTTCGAATTTCCCATGTTGCTGGCTTTCTGCTCTCTCATAAAGATTAACAGCCTTGGAAATCCAATACAGGGTCGCTATGAATCGGAACTGACTCCAAGGCTCACAACCACCAGCACCATCACCTTTAGCCAAGAGTAAACAGCCACTTTCCTACTTCTTGGCAGAGAGAGGAAGGAAAAAGGGGATGGTGAAAGATAGAGATGGAGAACAGAAGTTATGACATTAATCATTGATTTCTCTCTAGAGCAGCAGCACTGAGTAAAAGAATTCTCT